GGTCACTTATTGTTTCTGGCTCATCACCTGTAGAATCTTCATCGTCTGGATATCTTAAAAGTTTTGTGTCTTCACTATCATCATCTGAGCAATTAAAATATTGTTTCGTGGGTGTATCCTTATCAACATCGTTTTCACCATCCGAGGAGTCATCCTCCGAGGTACTTAACGGTTCCTCGACTTTCATCTCCTGATAGTGATTTGATTCAAATTGACTGTTAGGTTGCTGAAAACACGCCTTGAGTTTTAAAATATCCAGAAACTCTAACCACTCTGAGTACATGCTATCAGCCGATCGTTTTGACTCATTATCTTTTAGCTGGACACAGAAGCCTAGCAGAAGGTTTCTTCGTGTAATACGTAACTCATAGAACGGTGTACCTCTGCTGGCATATGATTTAATCAGAAAATCCTTAGTGGTTAGTTCAGGTCGGTTAATGTCTGTGTCCGGGTTATTCATCGCCTTTAATTTTTCAGAATCATATTCCCTCACCAAGCGTTCAAAATCCCAAAGGCTCATCTTACAATCATGTCCGCCAACTATGAACATTTTGTTATCGTGCCCAAACTCAATGCTGTTGATAGCCGCAGTGTGGTGGGACAGCCAGCGAACCATTTGTTCTTTATCAGTGTCCCAAAGGATCACATAACTATCATCACCTCCGGAGACCAAGTAGCGTCCACATATGGAGAACGCGAGCGCATTGATGGAATTCCTGTGCGCACTGAAGATGCGCACTTGAGTAGCTTTCATAACGTCCCACAAGCGAACTGTGCAGTCGGCTGAGCCAGTCGCGAGGTAGTGCCTGTTTGGATGGAACTGGCAGATGATGACCTCGGCTAAATGCCCCATAAGAATGCAGACTGATTTCTTGCTGTCCTGCGTCCAAATGCGCGCGGTGCGATCGTCTGAAGAGGTGGCAAAGAAATAGCCTAACGGAGCATATACAACGCTGTAGATGGCACCGCAGTGTCCGGGATAGATGACAACACAGTTCCAGGACAGCAGGCACCAACAACGAACAGTTCGATCCTGTGAACAGCTAAGTAGGAAACGGTCATTTGGAGAAAAACTACATCCATAAATGGGTCCTTGGTGGCCATAGAGTGTACGTCTCAATTTTCTCTTGGTCGCATCTAACATGCTGTCATCTATGCCGGATATGCTAGTGTCGAGCCTCTTCAGGCATTCTGCCGACTTGAGCTGCACCAGCTTTGAGGAAGTCAACGAGAAAATATGGATTAGGGAAGAGTCGGTGCCAATGGAAATCATTGTGGTTTTGCTTGAGAAGGAGGCGCATATTACGGTCTCTGAGCTCTCTTGCGCCGTATATAGGTAGGCCGATGGCAGGCTCTCACGGTTAAGTGGTACGCGCCGCTCCTCATCATCCTTTAGTCGTTCCTGGTCCCAACGCTTCGGAGTAGGAATGTAGAGGCGATTGCCTATCGGCAAATACTCATTTCCAGCTAGAGAGCTTTTGTCCTTCTTGAAACGCCTACGCTTCATGGGTCGCGGGCTACTTTCCTTATTTTCTTTGACTGTGTCGGTGGTAGCCCAATAAATCTTTTCCAAAATAGGTGAACCAATGCGATTGACTTGACGCGGCTCCTCGTTTTCATCATAAGGACTTAGATCGAAATGTCTAAGAAATGTTTCCTGTAATGAACGGCTCCAACGTTCCATGTGGAGCAGAAGCACGTAATAGGTCTCTTCGAGCATGCAGAAATGAATTTTTTCGTCAGAGAGGAGCCTTTTGGCTTTGTTTGGTAAATCACCTGGAGTCTGTAGTATCATTAGTTTACCCACGCGTGCTACGTAAGAGTGATCAATGTAACGCATGGAGCTCTCCACAAACGACTTGCCTTTCCGGTACTTTCCACTGGAAACCATTCGCAGGTAGGCCAACGCAAGAGCCGGATACATAAGGCTGTATATTTCGTACTTGAAGCGGTTGGGAACTCGGTCCACAATCTTGCGAATTTTATGAAACAGTTTCTCGTAATCGTTCAGCACGTTTGAGTGAAGAAGATCCGAACTAAAAGCGTCCTCTTCATAGTCGGGCTCAAACATGTTGTCTTCAATATTGTTATCTTGTTCGTAAAAGTCCTTAGCGACCTTTGAGCCAGATTTCTGCTGCTTTGCTTTTCGTCGCCACCTCAACTCTTCAGTATCCGAATCTTTCGTAGAAGGTGGCGAAGAGATAATACTGGCGGCTCCAATGCCGCCCTGCGCTTTATTCTCAGCCATTTTGGATAAGTTTGTTAAGTACGTTATTGTGGTCTTTTCAAAGTCTCGCTTCTTATCAGAAGAGGATACCGTCTGAGGAGTTTCTTCTGTTGGCTGACTGACATTAGAGTTTATGGGCGACTCAGGTCTCTGTATATGCATTGGTTTGGATAGCTGACTAAATGAGAAAAGAATACAGAAGTGAAATGTGAGTTGAATAAAACATTTAACACAGAATATTGTGTCCAGCACCTGATGTTAGTTAAATTGATCTTTCTGGGAGCATCTGTCCGACTCTGCTTGCGCTGCTCTATAGATGGAGCTATGGTCTGCGCTGCTTTCGAATGACCTAAGCGCGTACTTGTTGAGCCATAAGCTACGGGGCTTAAATAAAATTCTTTAATATCTGTGGAACGGAATGATGCACCGATGATGATGAATTGAGTCTTACCGGCAGTCTCCATGCTCTCAAGCTCATCAAGCAAATCGTCCTCATTAAAAATTCCCAAACTGTTGTCCGATGATTGTGACTCGTCATTGGACTCATCTGTGTTTCCTGAACCTGATGAATTTTCAGAGTCGGAGTCATCAGTAAATTCAACATCAGAATAGATGCAGCCACCTATATTAATTATAGTTTTTGAGGCCCTATTATCATCATCATCATCATCTTTGCTTTCGTTTGTCTCCACGTTTTTTGTAACCATTTCATTTTCATGAACTTCATCATATTTTCTGGCTGTATTATCGTGTGAAAAAACATCCAGACAAGCGGGCTCACCACCCAGACTATCACAGCTTTGAACATTGTCAACTGTTGACTCTACCTCATTCGCAACATTTATTCCCCACTCAGATGCAAACATTCCCATATCGTATGAGGCTTCTGTTATCGGATTAGCACACAGTTCTGGTTCGGGATCATATTTAGGTTTCTGCTCAGAGCCAATTAATTCAAGTTCATTGAAGTCGGACGGTGCCACAGCCATTGGGCTTATTGTGACCTCTAAGCAATACGGTGACAATATTGGCATATCCACTGAGAGTGGCAAAGCATCAGCTGATGGCACTGGGAAATCCTGTGATGCTAATGAGTTTGGATCATCCACTGAATTTCCCATTGCCGAGTCTCCCAAAACGGCTGGTACGTTGGAGACGTGATCTTCATGAGTGCCAATGCTTTGAATTTCTTTTATATCCGAGCTAGGAGATTCACGCTTCGGGCTATTTGTGCCAGCTGAGTGCTGCAAAAGAATTATTTAATAACCATAAATTGCATTTATGTTGTATATATTGTAGTCACAAATATATAGCATATATTTTATTTTGATTGACGTTTTAATCGCTTACATACATTCGAGTCATTATTTTTATCATCATCATCATCCTTGCATAGTCTTTGCCTTTTGGCTTGTGCATTTTCATCATCCATCGACTGTCGTTTTTTTTTGCTTCCATTATCCATAACTTTAATTATTAATGATAGAAAAGCACCGGAGAAGTAGAATTATTTATTGCAAGACTCAGAAAATTAGAACCTGTCAAATGATGTACATATATCGATTCTAGTACATGTTACAATTGCCAAATGCTTTTTAAAGTCACAGTTACAATAGTATTATGTGACTCACATTAGGGTTCCCCTTCATGTTAATAAATCACAGAGTGATTCTATCCTGACCCCATTGGAAAATTCTAATGCTTGGTATAGTCGCTTATTAAAAACGAATTTATTTTTTCTTCATCCGAATTTAAAACCGAGTCATTCTCGTCCATAGTCCATAGATGTTAAACAGTGTAAAGCTATACTTTGTATAAGTTTATATTTTTGTTTTGTTTTTCATATAGTAAATACAAGGTTATCAGATGTGTTGTCATATAAATGTAGCAATTTTATGCAGATGATATAAGAAATAATACATATTTTACAGTAAATAATGACAAAGTATTTCGTTAAAGTATTCAGTAAATCACTTAATTACTCGTTACTTCTTATACTTAGTGGCGAACGCTTAACTCATTAATATTTCTTAATTATTAATTTATAATTATTTTATTTAGTTACCAGTTGTATAGAGTTGTGAACGCAATAAATATAAATAAAAATACTTTTATTGTCTACATTGTACAGAAATAAAAATAAATTAAAGCGATTGACTGCATTGGAATGTGACAGCGGATTGTGATACGTGGAATTCGAGGCAATGGATATCATGTGTAGCTACTTGTAGAGCACAAAGCCAGCTGGACCTCGTCCGTTGGACAGCTTGAATGCTGCATTAAAACGCATCGGCGGGTTGTAATCAGCATATACAAATGTCAAAACTCAAGGGCTTTCATTAGACGCCAACAATTAGAGAAAAAGGCACATTATTCGCAGCCACAATAAAAGCAGACCAAGTCGCGAGCAAATCACTTGAAATTCAATGCAGCGTATAAATAAATCACATCGCGTCTGTTTGGATGGGAGCGAGTTTATGCAACTGCAAAATAATCCATTGTAAAGTGTCGAAAAAGTGCAATTGAAATGCAAATCAATGCAAATCGATACTTGAATCATCATCAATAGCAGCAAAGATAAGTGATTCATGCGCCGCACCCGACAGCCCGCACCCCGCACGCCGCTCGACGTTCGTCGCACGCGAGCCACATTCAAATGCAAATACGAATGCAAAATTTTGCATGAGAACTCGATTTTGGGCGGGTCTTGCAGGAGCTGCGGCCGGCGGCAAGGGCCTCCCGCTGATGTGCTAACAATCAAATCAAAATAAAACTGCACCGCACAACAATAAAAATTGCAGCCCAAAACAAAAACACAGCTAACAATGAGATACACGCAGGGGCACAAAGGTGAATGTGTTGGCAGATTTCTGCACTTCCGGTTAGCTGTTGCTAATTTGATTAGAGAGTTAGACGCCGGCTTCCGAAAGGGCAGCCATGCAGGCCTGTGAGCATTTGTTGGCGTCGATTTCGTTTCGGACTGCAAACTTATGCAAATGTTGCTCTGTGATTTATGTACAGGAGTCTGTGGTGGGTCTGGCAAGTCTGTTCCTTGGGGACAAGGAGAGTCTGTAAATTGAATCTAGGAATTCGTAGTACTTAATCGTTTCACACGCGTTGCGCTTTTGCACATCCGTCGGTGTTTTCTTATTCAAATTCAAACTCAATCATATCCTGTCATAAGGCTCGATCCTCCTTTGTCTGCTCATCACGAGTTTTTTGTGCTTTTGCTTAACCCCTTTGAGCCGTTTGCCCTCGCATCCTGAACTTATCCCAGACATTGTCATGCTAATTGCCGGGCATGAGAAGTCTGACATTCAAGTCTGAGAACTTTTCGGCAGCCAGGTAGGCTCGTCGATGATCGAGTTGAATTTATTCAGGATGTGTCTTCATTCAGTATGTTTCTACATTTCATTACGTGAGGTTCTTAAAATGGTTTGTAATTGTGACCCGCACTTGTGTGAAATGATGTTAAATAATGTATTCAGCTCGAGCTCGACGCTAAGTAATTCTTCATAAAGAGCAAAAGGCAATAAAAATAAAAAACCAATACTCCAGTATATCGTGTTTTCGTGGCTTTCGGGGAAATGTCGTATCCACGCATCGGCAGCCCTATAAAGAGCAAGCATTAGCACGGCCTCTGACGCAATTTAACACCAATTACAATATCCGTTACATCTAATTATTGTAAGCGCGCCCAGAAGCAAGCCACTTGTCAGGGACCAAATTAAAGAAAAACATCCACAAGGAAACCACAAAAGACAAACCAAAGACAGGTCGTTGTCCGTCCGTCCCACTGGTGGTTGGGCGCAGATTGGTCGCCATTTGTGGTTGCCAGGACATTAACAATGGCAACTACCCAGCAAGACCAACAAGAACAACGCCAACGCCAACAAGGACCACGACAACGACACGAAGAACAAGTCCAAATGGCGCTCATAAAACAACAGAGCAGAGCCCGGAAAAGCCATGAAATATGACGAAGATGGAACCTGAACCAGGGGGCACCGGAGTTGCCGCCTGCACCGCAGCTGGGCAGTTGGTTATTTGGGTGGCTGTGCAGCTATCTGAGTGTGAGTGTGAGTGTGGAGGAACATTTCTTAATTTCCAACAATTTACGCTGAAAGCTTTCAGCGCTCAAATGACGCACAGTGCCGAGCGCTCGTCCTTTGACAGTGTCCAGGCTAGGGCGACGATGATCTAACACCATTATTTCGCTGCCAAACGACAGGCAGTTGTTAATGGGGCTTACCACTTAAGCGCGACGGCGTAAAATAAACACGCAGAGTCCTGCCCCACCCACCCGGTCGTCACGGATGTCCTGGCAAATTAATTAACATAGCGCGCGCTCTCGCCTGCCTGCAGCGCTCCTTCGGCATTGCTTGGGGTTCTTCGCGTTTTCTTATTTTCTAGTCCTTCGGCGGTTTTTTCTGGCCCTGTTTAATTGCGTGCTACTTCATTCTGTGTGCAAGGAAGTCGGCCAGCGGCAGTTTAACAATTAGAAAACGTTTAAAGCTCGCCCAACTTTGAGCTGCGTAGTGGGTTTCCTTGGTTCCGTTGATTACCGGCCAGGGCCCACAAGCTCCGGCTGGAGACATTGTGCATACGCGGCACGTCCCTGCATCCGTTTGACACCTTTGTGACCCGTGGACAGGAAATGAGCTGCCCCGTACGTGACTAGCTTCACCAAACTACGTCTTTGAAAATATTCGTCGGTCTGATTCTCGGCTGCGAAATTTCAGCGGCATTTTCTAAGCTTTTGTAGGATGTTGGTTGCAGGGGACTACTGAGGGTTCAGCGCCAGCAAACGAGTTATCCACGCAAAGACTTCCGAATTTAAGGTGTGCCAACCCACTGTGCCAATTGTCTTTTGCGCCTCTGCTTAAAATTCCGAATTTGTGCACTCGCTCAATTTCCTTGAGTCTATAAAGTAATTACCCCCAAACAACTGAAAGATTCGGCATAAATTTGCTGACGTGGCGGCCTGGCAGCCAAGCAGCCAGCCAGACGACCAGGTCCCGCCGGTATAATTAGTGGCCCATTGATGCTGCTACGTGACAAGCAGAGCGCCTTGTGGCAAGGACAAACCTTGAGAATCGGCCAAGCGTCGGCCTTCCATAATTGCAATTAAAATGTACGCCAGGATGCTCGCGCGCGAAGAGCAAACACTTTGGGGCAACAAGCAAAGGTGAGTAACAGAAAAATTGTACAAATTAAAATATAATTAGAGATAAACAAGCCAAAACAAGCGGCTAAAGGAGCTGGCAATTAGTGGCAGAGCTCGCATAGACGTTAGCGCCGCCTGTCGGCCAGCAGCGTTTGTGCACGCACTTTCCACTGGAATTGTGCGACTGGAAGTGAGCGTACCCTGCAGGCACAGACCACCCCTACCGCTGAACCACCGCGAGGGCTGGCGTGTGTGTGCGAGCGAGTAGACAACAAACGCTCAGCGAGCAGGAGCATGTGAGACAGGAGGTCTCAGTCGTTGTCTCTGTCGCAGCGCTGCCGACGCTGCGGCGTGGCGGCGTTCCTGCGACTCTGCTACCTGGCGACTAACGAGCCAGTAATTTTGTGAGGCAGCTAATGCTGCCTCAAAGACCTACGCCGAACTGCTGCGTCATCTTCTTGCGCGTCGTCTTGGCTACTTTAAGCCAACCTCGTCATCGTCTTTCATATTAAGTATACGCCGCATCGCAGTGTGCCTTGCTCATGTGAGCATAGGGGAGGGCTGGGCAGGCCAGGGTAGATATATATTTGGACTGGCAGCAAGCGGAGGCCTCGGTTTATGAGGGTCGTTTTTTTCCTTTTTCTCTTGGCTGAGGCCACACCTTCCGCAGGGGTGATTGAAACTGAAATTTCAGTCGACGCCGCTTTTACTTTTGTTTGCTTGGATTTTCGATGGCAAAAAACAGCATTTTTTACTTGTATATAAATAAAAATCTACATTGGGTGGGAAGCGAAATCTGCTTTATGAAATGTCAAAACTTCAAAGCAAGTTTTAAGTTAAATGCAAGAAAATGAGAAAATATACACTTGAGTGCGTATGAAGAAAAATGTTCGACTCTGCTGCCAGCACCGCGTACTTCTTCCTCTTTCGCCCATCCTCATTCTGCTGTTTGTTTTGCGCCAGTTTTTCATTGTCCATTGCACGTCGTTAGAGCTTGTTGTTGTTGTTGTTGTTTTAGACGTTTTTCTCCTTGTTGTTTGCTGTTTGAGCTGTTGTTGATAGCCTTTATTAGTTGTTGGGCCCAAGCTTAGGCGCTTTACATTTTCTTTTGCACTTCCGGTTCGGCCCAAAAGCAAAAAGTAGATGCGAGATTTGAAGAGCGGATTTGCATTGAGGTCTTGCAGGCTTCTACAAAGAGTTTGCTATATGGAAGTATTTGACTAACAGAAATAAGCATGGGGATCTCTGTAGATCGTGGATAAATTTAAAAATTAAATTTAATTAAATTTAAAAATTTATATTATCTTATTTTTGATATGTATTATATTTGTTATACTAAATTTCTTGACTATAATTAACATTATAAATCTTTTTTTTTTAAATATATATTATGCACATTATTTGTTTTATACATTTTTGAACTTTATTGATTGATAGTTGTTAAGGTATTTATCATTATATTTATAATTTGCAATTAGTTTTTTAAACTATATTTATTTAAATCATTGTATACTTTTGTTTTCTATTCATTTTCCATTTCATTCTTAATTTTTATTAATTTTATTTTTAAATTTCTATTTACGGTATTCGTGCGTCGGCTTTTCACAAACAAAGTGCCGATTAATTTCTGTTTCTTGTTTCTTCTCTTCTCTTTTTCTTTTGGTATACATTTTTTTTTTACGAGATTTTATTAAAAATTGTATATTAAATCAATTGCGTGCAGCTTTTGGTTGGGGTGTCGAATGTGCTCATGCATAAAGTGGGTGGCCGAGGAAGGGCCCCACATTAAATGGTATAAATCATATTATGGTCATGGGAATCGGAACATTTAGTAGGTTGCTTTGCACAAAGATATCTCAAGTAATAAAGGCTAAAACAATTAAAACAGCGGCAATTGAGCTATTATATTGTTTACAAGAAAGCAATTAATTGCCCCATTAAGCTGTCAATATTTTGTCATTTATGTCAAGCTTTTGCGGCAACAAAATAATATCCTTAGTGTTATACCATTCATTGTTATACCATTCAGTAAACGGAAAATATTCTATTGGTTGGCGCTTGATTCATCTCTTTTAGCGACCATTATTAAGCCTATTCGTTTCTGTGTTAATATGTCTCCAAAAGCTATCGTACTCGCCAGGACGGGGGAGTAGAGGCTTGTCATTCCTATACTGGCCAATTCACAGAACGAACGCTCTCTAGCTGCCGCTGACATGCTTCCTGGACGTAAAGAGATTTGATCAAGATGATCAAATATATACTTTTCTTAGAAATGAACTGTTCATGCTTTAGCTGACTGTACAATTAGTTGGGTAATGGTATTCGACTCTAAACGCCATTTGAATAGGTTTTGCTGGCTTCAGAATTATGGCAGCTTACAAAATGTATTATTTACAGTAACTGAATAGATGTTATTTTATTTTATTCTTCTCTACTATCGATCCGTCAGTTTTCTCGGGTTTCTTTCAATATCTATAAAATGTTGCAGTTGAAGTTCAGTTACAGCTGAGAATGCATGTCTACGGGATGGTCATCCTGATGCCGACAAGCCAGTACATTCACAATGATGTACGGGGGCTGAGGTAAACCTGCTCCGCTGATTAATTTCAGCTTTTTGTCTAATGAACTTGCCCGCAAGAATTTAATAAACATCGCTCTGAAACTTTATTGGCCACAAAAAAAAGAAAGAAATTACTGACGTCTGCTCCGCCAAAAAAAAAAATGAAACTGTATAAATAACCGAATAGAACATACCGTGCCATACATTTTAGATGATCACCAGCTTTTGAATATGAAGACAACTAAGAATAATATATATATAATAATATATAATAATATTACAAATAATATATACATATGTATAATATATTAATACTATATATTTTTAAAATATATATTTTGATTGCTTACATTAAGGATCTCTCAACGAATAAAAATAGAAATGAAAATTTAAATTAAAAATGCCTTTAAGGAACTTTGTTTGTCTTCATCATACCCTCCTAGCACCATGATGGCTGTAGGGTATAAAGTAAGCAAGCAAAGGAAAAATCATCTCTGGTAAGTTGTAAAAATTGTCTTTTAATGCCTCGAAAATCCAGCAGATTGCCACGTAGTGCTAATAAAATAAAGTTATGCCCAGGCATAAAAAATCTACACAAAATTGTGAGAAATAGTGTGCGGTGCGTTTTTATTCGAATTTTCATCCTCTTTTTCGAAAGAAAAAAAAATGGCGTAGAAAATTGTGCGCGCGCACAAGTTGGCCCGAGCTGGGGCGCTAAACGCATCATTAATCAAATGTCCGGCGCCTAAGCACCGTTATTCATCATTGCCCCGGGATAAGGCGGGCCCAAGCATCTCAAACGACGCCATATTTGTTGACTCTGTGAATATTTTCGTGGAAAGAAGTTGTGAATTTCAATTATGGACAGAGCATACGAAACTATATACAACATTATGTTTTCAGCAAAGGTCTGTGGGAAACGGCTTGGGAGACTGCAATTTGCAATAATTGAAATCGACAACTATGTTAGTAATTAATTTAATACTTTGCATTTTATGCACATACAAGATACATATGTTAAAAATCAAATACAATTAAACACAAAACTTTTATCACATACGTCCAAACGTTGTCAGCAAGGTAGCTGATTTATTGTATCTCATTTAATATACGGTGCTACCCCACAATTTCTCTCAAGAAATGTCCAAGGAGCCACGCGTTTATCTTTAGCAATAGGCTAAAGTCCGAAAGAAATACGAATTTCAGCCACCCTAATGGTCCATATCAATTTGGCTCAAACACATCCTGTGGTTGATGGCTTTTTCTTCTTTTTCTTTTCTTGGACTATTTTATCCTTACTTTTTGCTTTTTTTTTTGCCCACTTTTAATGTACTAGACGACATTTGGGAGAAGGCAACTTGCTTTTGTGGCCAGTCGCAATATTTTTAACATCATAAATCAGGCTTATATTTCAGTAAATCATCAAACATGCGACAACTTTTAAGGGGCCTCTGCTTGCGCTACGCCAATGCCAACTGCTAATGCTGCTAATGGAAATTGTACATTAGAGATTGCCGCCTGTCGACGGTAGTTGATGGTTTCGATGTTTTGTTTTTAAAATGTTTTTTTTTTTTTTTTTTTTTTTT